AGACCCTCAGGCGGCCGGGGCGCGGGGTGCGGCGCTCCGTCTCCAAGCCCAAGGGGGCTCCCGCCTCCGCCCGGCCCGCCGACACCTCCCCGCCGCCTGGTCACTGTCGCCCGAGGTGCACTCGGGTCTGGGAAGCTCGTCCCGTCTGCGCCGCCCCGCGCGCGCCCTGCCCGACTCCGGGACACCGCGACCCCGCGACACCGGATCCCGGGACCCGGGCGGCGTTTCCACCCCGGCGGCTGTGGACCGCATCGCCTCCGAGAAGTCGGCCCGCGTCTCGCTATTGTCCCTTGCCTTTTGGGGACAGGACCCGGTGCGGTTGGGACCAGGCGCGGGCGCGGGGCAAAGGCCAGAGCTGGGTTGCAGCCGGCGCGCGGGCCCTGCGACTGCCGTAGGTGCCGGGGCAGGAAAAGACCGCCAAACCGGGCTCTCCGCCCCGGGAATGTAACCGACAGCCCCTGCATTTGTGTGTGTGGACTCCGGATATGCCTTGGCAATGATTCTGCTCTCAGTCCAGAGTTAAGGGCTGGGAAAGGGCGCCCCGGTGATCCAATTTCCTGTAGCCGAGCACTGTCACCATGGGGGGCGGGGGGAGGGCGGCCAGATGGGGAGCGGCACAGGGACCTTTCGCTCTCTGGATCCTTCTCTGAACTGGCCGGGCTCGGGGACGCTGTCAACTTGGTAAAGTCCTTTCGTGCCGCCGCCTGCCGCCGCCGCGCACCATGTGGATTTCATATAAAGCTGTGTGCCTTCCAGAAGTGGAGGGAACAACGCCATCAGCGGCTGGAGCTTGTCCTGCCGGTGAAATGGCTGTGCTCGTCTTCTGGCCGGGGCAGATTTCGCCCGGGACAGCACCCACGTGGAGCTTGTCGGCTTTGCCCAAAAAGAATGAGTCCTCGAAGTCTCCACCGACAGAGGGTGTCCCCTTGTTGGTTGACTGCCCTGACCTCCTTGCGCAGTCTGCTGTAGCCTGTAAGACCCTGTCTTAGGTTTTTAAATGCATAAGATAAAATCCACAGGATTGCCAAGGAGATCAATTCTGTTGAAAAATGAGTTAAAATAGTTTTTAAAAATTGTATTAAGTAATATATGTGGTTTTGTTCTTTTTAACCTTATTAAATAGCAAGGTGTAGCAGTGGATCCAGTGTACGATCAGCTAATGCCGGAACTTTCAAGGTCATGGGGACTGTAAACAATATTCAGAGACACCTACTGTGACTATAATGTGATAGGAGAATATCTCTGACTTCTGTTAGTGGCAAGGTCATTAAGTGCTAATACTACTGTGTTTTGTTGCCTACATTTATAATGGAAGGAAATGCTAAATACCAGTTACCGGTTACTGAAAATTAAAATGAAATTTCTTTTTCTCTCTAGGTTAACAGACCCACTGAATTCTATTCATGAACCCCTATGTTAAATTAGGGCCCTCCGCCCTTCTTTACTTGTGGCATCAGACTAACCACATTACGTTCTAAAGACCTAGAAAATCGATTGCTAAAAAGTGATTCCCGTCAGTCCACACCTTCTGAGCCAATTTTTTTAATCTGCATTTCAGCGAGAAAGACTCCCAGAGCTCTCTTTGCATCTTATTTCTGTGCTTCAGTTTGGGTTCCCAGGAAGGACTCTGAGATGGAGATTAGCAGATAGGTTATTTCATTAGGGCGAGCTTTGCAGATCCACACTTGTAGAAGGGAGGGCAGTGAAGAAAGATTGAGCGGAGTAGTGGAGCTGCAGCGCAGGCCAGCAAGGGCATCCAGCCAGTCCCCTGGGAGCTCTGGAGGTGGGATGGCCTTTCAGAGCTCTCTCAAGTCTCCTGAGACGGATGGACCTCCATGTCCTTACAGTGATCAGTGATTCCATAAGGGCTGCCCTGGACCGAGGTGTGACCCTTGGGTGAGGCAGTTATCGAAGAGGAGGGCTGAGGACTGCATTCCCAGGAGCTGAATGAGGATCTGGTGCCACATCACAGCACCCACCACTGTTTGTAGTTTTGTAGATGCTGTTTTGAGCTGATGGAAACCTCACATGGCCCTGAGTGAAAGGGTGAATTGACAGGAAGTGTGAGCATGAACTAGATGGTCTGTACTGTTCTGGGCATTAGATTAAGAAAATGAAAGGAAACCCACTGAGAAGGAAAGTGATTATTGGATGAGTATATCTACATGTGTCAGGGACTTGCTAGTTTTACATTATTTAATCCTCAAAACAATGTGCCCCCTTTTTTTCAGATGAAGATATAATAACAACAATTAGTAATTACCCAAGGCCATCGCATCAGTTAAAAATACCCAAACTAGGGCTTCCCTGGTGGCGCAGTGGTTGAGAGTCCGCCTGCCGATGCAGGGGACATGGGTTCGTGCCCCGGTCCGGGAGGATCCCATGTGCCATGGAGCAGCTGGGCCCGTGAGCCATGGCCGCTGAGCCTGCACATCCGGAGCCTGTGCTCCGCAACGGGAGAGGCCACAACAGTGAGAGGCCCGCGTACTGCAAAAAAAAACAAAAACAAAAAAACCCAAACTAGGATTTCAGCCCAAGTCTGTGTCTGACTCATAATGCTTTCAAGCATCAGACCTAAAACATCTGATGGACCCAAGGGAGTGCTGTGAGTTAGAGTAGTGAGGAAAGATTTTACAGAGGAGGTTACATTTAAGACTTGAAAGACAGGTCCATTTTCAGTAGGCGGAGGGGGAAATGGAGAGGCCATTCATGGTGGTAGGTACTGCAGGGGTAAATGCATGAGGATGGGAACAAGCTTGGCATATGCTGGGAAAGTGAGGAATATGACCCCACTGGAGCAGAGTGTTTTTGTTGGCATAGGAGAGTTCAGTCTGGGATAGGCAGTGGGGTCAGGGGATAAATGTATCAGTTAGCTCTTGCTGTGTAACAAACAACCACAAAAACGTCAGTGGCGTATAACTATAAGCACTTGTTGCTCATGTGTTTGGAATCCGCAGGTGGTGGGCTGATTTAAGGCAGCTTCAGCAGGAGCAACTGGGATGATCTGGTTCTGCTCTGGGAGGTGGTGGGGGAGGGGGGTGTCTCTCAGCCTCCACAGCTGTTTTGCCTAATATGGTCATTAGCCATGTATAGCTATTTTAAATTAATTAAAATGAAATAATATTAAAATTTCAGCTTTTGAGTCACACTAGCCACATTTCAAATGTTCAACACCCTCACTAGTGGCTAGTGGCCACTAGATCGGACAGTGCTGCTGTTGAATGTATCCATCACCACTAAAAATTCTATTGGATGGTGCTGCTTCAGAGGGCCAGCTTAAGCATGTCCTTTTTCATGGAGATGTCAGAAGCATAAAAGAGTAAGTGGAAATGCATAGTGCTTTTCCAGGCCTTCCCTTGGGTCATGCCTCCTAACATCTCAGGGACTGAAGCAAGTCTCATGGCTGAGCCCAGTGTCAATGGGTGAGGCAGGTCATCACCCCTCCGCCCCCCCCCCCCCCCCCCCCCCGGCGGAATGGGTTTCATCAAAAAGAACACAAATAACCCGCCCCCACCGTGGTGGTAACAGGCATGGATTCAGGGAGAGCTGAAGATGTGGAGCCAAACGATGCAATACATTACATGGAGGGTCATGAAAGACGGCTCCTGGAAGGTTAGTGGTTGCTGGGTTATACTGTCTGTAGCTGGTCACAAGGCATGCCCGTCTTTAGTAAGATAAGTCTGGCAGTGGTTTGCAAGACAGCATGAACAAATGGACAAGAAGAGTTTGGGAGCAGGAAAACCAGTCCCATAAGTTACTGATTTATCAGATATGCAGGAATTAGAGCGTTACAGGAATGGGGCAAGGAGAGGAGCGGGTGAACCTGAATTGATCTAAGATACATCAGCAAGATTTCTGACCAGTCATACATGGAACGCGGAGGAGAAGGCAGGGAGGGAGAGGTTCTTGGTCTTGAGGCGTGAGCGAATGGTGAGATGGTTGGCAGAGCTGACTTGAGTGAAAAGGCATTAGTCCAGGTTTGACTCAGTGGTGTTAGAGACCAACAAGGAGACCAGAACATGGAGATGCCCTGGAGCTTGTAGACCTTCAAAAGAGCAGTTAGGTTGGAAGGTGAATGGAAGCCTTGACACTAGTTTACGAGGGGAAGTAGGAAAGCAGGGAACAAGCTGAGAGCTGGGTTTGGAGCCCTTGGAAAGGGTACCATTAGTGATGACCCAACTCATCAGTTCTAACAGTGCGGTCTGGGGACTCCTGGGCGTCCTGGAGACTTTTTCGAGAAATTCACAAGGTCAAAACTCTTTTCCTGGTAATACGAAAACGTTTGCTTTTTATACTCCCATGCTCTCATGTGTATATAGTGGAGCTCACTAGAGGCTACAGGATATGTGATATCTACATGTGTTGTGATAAATATCACAACAGATTGAATGTAGAAGATAGGAGAATCCAGCTATCTTCCATTAAGCCAGACGTCAAATTGATTTGCACAAATGTACAACGACACTTCTCTCCCTAGGTACTTTTGGGTTTTATTTTCTTTAAAATTATTTTAACATGTAATGAGTTCATTATTATTTAAGTATTATAAATATTTAAATTTTTCTCAATTTTAATTTCTGGTATGATAAGTATTGATCAATATAACCTATATAAACATGAGATTCTGGGGGTTCTTTAATAATTTTTAAGAATATAAAGGGGTCCTGAGACCAAAATGTTCAAGAGCTGCTGATTTGATGGTATCTAGACATCGTATGCCTCTGCCTTAATTTGAGAGCTGTTTCAAGGCAGAGGGTATTGCTGGGGAATATTCCATGGTGGAGCGAGGGGCCATCTTGGTTTCCTAACTTGATCCTGTGGGCCATTGAATGATAAGATCTGATTCTCCACGTGGAGTAATCTCTTTATTT